CACGGAACCAAGGGATTTGGGTCTCCATCTAGCTCCACCTCCCAGGCGGACAACTAGCATTCAGCTCTAACAGGCCCTGAAGGTGTAAGCAGTATCTGCAACTCTCACAGAGAACCCCTCAACAGACCCGCCCTCCATCACACGCTCGGCTTCGCGGCTCTCCTGTAACCAGGAAGGCAAGCCGAAAGAAGCGAGCCGAAGTAGCCGAGAGAAACTGAGGCACAATAAAAGCTCCAGAGGCATGCCTCTCCTGGCCGGCCGGTAACTATGGCTGGCTCACTCTCTCCAGACCGGGCGCTGCCCGAGGGCAGAGCCTGAGGAATGGCGACTGGCTCCCCGGCGGGAGACCGAGCACCTCCCGGCGGGAGCGGGCCACAGAGCGAGGCCTTCGCGTTTGGATCTGCCAGCATCCAAACCTGGCTGCCTTAGAGGAAACTGGAGATCCGCCCCCACCTCATCCCCCAACCAGCCGGAGTCGCCTCGCCGGGGCCAGCGGAATCCGGGCCAGGGTGGGTGTAGGGGCCTCCAGCCACGTCCTAGAGGTTCCCCTTCTCTGATGCATTAGGCAGCCCTTCACTCCGGGTCCGAAGAAGTGGAGGCCACACTTTCCCAGTGAACCGAGCGATCAAGTTTAGTCCTGCAACGGTCACACTCACTGGGTCCCCGGCAGCACAGGGGAGAGCCTACGCAGCAGGTTGGGGAAGGCGCAGGATGGAGGGCGGGGGCCCGGGGAGCGCTGGCGCAGACCAGCCCCACCCGGGCGGGCGCCCTCCCTTCTCGTCCAGGGCGCGGGGCTGGGGCGCGCCAGGCGGCTGCAGCTCGAACCTGCTCGCGCAGCCCGGAGCAGCTTCGGGCAGCAGTGCGTGAAGCCAGAACCCACAGCACGGCGGGGGGACGAGGGGCGGGACCCAGGTGGCATCCGCCAGCTCGCTTCCAGGAGGCGCTGGGCGGAAGAGGCGACGGGGTGGGGAGGAGGCACCGACCTGGCGGGGCGGGCTAGCCTGGGGTTTAGACGGTGAAGAGCGAGGGGGTGGACAGGGGAAAAAGGTACTTATTTCCCGGAATTGAGGACCAAGGGGTGGCTCGGAGAGGAGGACAGACGACTAGGAGCTCAGGAGAGCCGAAAGCGGGGTGCACAGAGGGTGCGACCTCGAGTTGGGATTTCCGAGGGTGGTGGGGTAGCGCAAGAGGCGCAGTTTGGACAACCAGGGACTTTAAACCGGAGGTGTTTCCTACAAGAGACTCAGGAGGAGAGAGGCAAACGAAGCAGGCAGGGATGGGACTTCCACACCACCCCCGGACACAGGCAGCCCGGCCCACGGGGCGTGGCGCCTCTCCGGCCCTCCTACTCCCCGCGACCATCCAGGCCGGGCCAGGCCCCGCCGGCCTTGGTGCCTGCACACCTCCCCGGGCCTCGGACTCCCTCCCCCGAACTCCCCGCCCCCGCCGTATCGGGGGAGGGGGAGCGAGCTCAGGGCCCGGGCGCCCCTCAAAACTTCTTGCAAGTTCACTCCTGCACACCTCCCGCCCCAGCTCCGCTCAGCTTCCCCGGGGCCAGGAAGGCCCGTGCCCGCCCCGGCCACTCCCGCCCCGGTTACATAAGGTCGCGGGGAGGCGGCCCCCGGCCCGGCCCGAAAGGAGGGGCCCGAGGGGCTCTCCGGCTGGCGAGCTGCACCGCTCGGGCCACGCGCCGGGTACCCAAGGCTGCACCGGCTGCGGGTGGGTGGCGGTGCCATGCACCCTGTCCGGCTCCAGTCTGTCCCCCCGCCCGTCCCCCCACCTGTCTCAGGCACCCACGGGATGGGAAGTGCGGCGCTGGCGTTCCCCAGTCCCCCCGTGCACCCCTAGTCCCGCTCACCTCTCTCTGAAGGTCAATCTGTCCGCCACCGGCGCCCTGCGGTTCCGGCAACTTGTCCCAAGTTCGGGTGCCGGGCCCCCGAGCTTCGCCCGCCGCCCGCTGTCGGGCTCCTCGGGCTACGCGCCACCCGCCAGGCCCGCCCCGTCCGCCCTTCCCGCCGCCGTCGGCGCCGTCGCCGTTCTCTGCGTCCCGCCCGCAGCTGCCGCCTCCGCTGTCACCTAGCCCCGCGCCCGGCGCTTGGGCTCCGGCTGTCACTCCGCGCCCACTTCCCGCTGCTCCCGGCAGAGGGCAGCACCTACCCCTGAGTCCCGCCCCCGCAAGCTTGCCGCGGTGCCTGCTGGGAAACGTAGTTTCCGCTGCAGCCGCGCGGGGCTCGCGGGATTTACAGTTCCACTCCGCTGGCCGAGGCTCTCAAGGAGTCAACTTTTAACATTAAACATTTGTCCTTTTTCCCTTTCCAGATTTTTCTTTCTCTTCTCTCTTCTCTATCAGTGATGTCCAGAGCCAGGACTTACTATATCGTTTCATCTTCTGAAAGCTGATAGCAAATAGCAAGCTGCTTTTTCAGGCGGTCCCTCTGGCTGTGTCAAAGGTGGTGAAACAGGTCCCAGAATGGTCAGCAACAACCTGAAGTTATCTTTTCCTTTAGGAACTTCCACTTGGGGAGACTTTTGACTTCTTTCTTTGTTAGATTAAAAAAAAAATGTTGCTAACGTTTGTTGTTGTACCAATTATTATTATTTCAGGACAAGCCAGTATGAAGCAGTTTATCATATGTGTGTGTGTTTATACATGGACATATATACATATATATATATATATATATATATATATATATATATATATATGTATGTATGTATGTATATATATTTTTTGTCTGTTCACTTGTTTTTCCAGACAGTTTCTTTGTGTAGCCTTGGCTGTCCTGCAGCTAGCTCTGTAGACCAGGCTGGCTTCAAACTCACAGAAATTCACCTGCCTCTCAATGCTGGCATTAAAAGCGTGTGCCACCACCACCTGGCCTAACAATACATATATTTTTTTTCTAATTTTTAATTTTTATTTAATTTTTATTTATTACAATTTATTCACTTTATATCCCAGCTGTAGCCTCCTCCTCCCTTGTTCCCTCCCATCCCTTCCCTCCCTCCCTCCCTCTTCTCCTCCCATTAACAATATATTTTTTAATATAGATTTAAAACACTGGTTGGGGGGCTAGAGAGGTGGCTCTTTCAGAGGTCCTGAGTTCAATTCCCAGCAACCACATGGTGGCTCACAGCCATCTATAAGATCTGGTGTGTAAGAACATGTACAAGGAGAGTAGTATATAAATAATAACTAAATCTTAAAAAAAATAAAATAAAAACACTGGGGTTAAGAGAAAGAGGTGACGCTACAGGGGGGATACAAAGTGAATAGAGTGTAATTAATAAAAAAGAGAGAGAGAAAAAAAAAAGGTGATCAGGGAAAGACTAGGCCCACCCAGAGAAACTGGGTGTGAGCTTCTCATTGTCTTTTACGATAGCCATGTTTTTTGTTTTGGTGAGTTCTGAGGTTATCTTCAGAGGACTGCTGAGACGCTTAAATAAGATCACAGGATGCTTCCTGAGGTGTAGCTGATAGTGTCGCAATTGATTAGGTAAAATTGTTATAAAGGAAGTTAGGATATCTTAACTGTAAACAAAACAGTCCTATTTGTGAGATTCCCAGAGGATGTCTGGGAGAGTGGAGGCCAGGCACACACGTTCAGGCTTTAAGCCTGGTTTATTGTTGTGTTTACCACTGTTTTGTTTTATTGAGACAGACTCACCAAATAACCATAGCCAGCCCCAAATTCACTAGTTGATTAGGTTGCCCTGGAAGCCACAGAGGTCTGCCTGCCTCTGCTTTCAGAGAATGCTGGGATTCAAGGCAGGCATCACCACTCCGGGCTTGTTATTTTTTTTAATGCTCCTGATGAAATTGTCTGTGTTGGCACACTTCACGGGACATGTTCACGGTGCTAGAAGCCATGATTCTCAGCTGGCCAAAGGCTTTATCCAGACTGTGGAGTAAGGACAAGCCCTTTTACTCTCAAGTCCCGATAGGTTCTGTCTGTCTGTCCTGTCTTAGTTTGGCAAGCAGTGCACAACCAGGATGCTGCCCTTTTGTCCCTGCCTCTGAGTGTGAGAGGAGAAGCATCAGCACCACCATTTTAACTGCTCAGAGTTTCCCAGGCTTCTGTCTTGTCGCTTCCTCCTGCTGGAAGCTAGGGGCTCTAGGATAGTATCCTTAGCTTGCTTTCCCTTTTTTTTTTCTTCTCCCTACTCCCACCATCTCCTGCCTCCTGCCCTCTCCTTCCCCTCCTTCCCTCTCTCCTCCTCCCCCTTTCCTTTTCTCCCTCTTCTTCTCTTCCTCCTCCTCCCCCAACATGTGACTCTTAAGTTTCTGGGACTTTCTGAGAAACTCCTAAGAAAGCACAAGAATGAAGTCTAGAGCGACAGACCTCTCGCTGAGCTGGTCAGAGAAATCCTGGGAAAGAGCAGGCCTTCCTGTCCATAGCTGAAGGACAGCCCTCCTTCAAACCCAAGCCCTGGGACTTAGGAAACTGGGTGAAAATACAGTCACCCTAGCTCAGTGTCAGCTGCCTGCAGTCTTCCTGGAAATAAGCCTCTTGCTTCCTCAAGGGTTCACACCGTTAGAAATGAATGTGGTGCAGCATCCTTCAGACAATTCGAGTCAAAATCGATTCAAAGTTGAAGAGGCAAACCCTTAGCTCTGTAGCATGTCAGCCCCCAGACGCTCAGCTAGTGGACATTCCTGTGACCTTGAGGTCAGTGGGTAAGTTTGGAGAAGTGGCTCAACAGAGCATTTTCCCTTTGCCCACCATGTCCAAGCCTGCTCCCCTCGCCAGTCTTAGATCTTCAGAAGGAATCTGTGAATAGACTCCAAACCCTGAAGGTAAAGGCCTGTCTCCAAGACTGGCTTCAAACTCAGCTTCACTTAGCATCCCCAAGACCCACCAGGAAACCGTGTGGCCACTGAGGTCAGGCAAACTGGAACTAGCTCTGATTCCCACTCTCACAGTTCCCCGAGACCCGAGGCCCAAGGCCCAGCTCCACCCACCCCACATAGCCTCCACACAAATGACCCAACAGGCTGGTCAATATGGAGAACTCTTTATTATTAGAGAAAGTCTGTGGTCCAGAAAAGGAAAGCTGGAAGCAGAGAGGAAGGACAGAGGGGGAGGGCTGAGAGGAAGGAGGGCATATGGGCGTCTAGACGGCAGGTCTAGACAGCAGTGGCAAAGCCCACCATGTTGTTGCCAATGTCGAAGATGGCATAGTAAGACCTGAGGAAGACATCCCCAAGGATCCAGAAGGGCTGGCCGTTCTCATTCAGAGGAGTGGTCTCGAGGCCCACCATGCAGTAGCCATCCTCCTGTTCAACAGAAAGACAACGTTCACCCATTTGCTCATGCGTGGACTGAACCTCAGCCCTAGGATGACAAAAAGAGTGTCCAAAGGGCTTGTGGACCAGCTGACCCTCCATAGCAAGGGGCTTTCGGAGGCGGGAGAGGGGGTGTTTCTCCAATAGCTGACTTCAAGTTGCAATGGTTCTAAGGGGTGGAGGGCATCTTCCTCCATGGACTACCCTCCCCCGGCTCTTGGCCTGCTGCAGGGCAGCCTGGTCACTTAAGCTTTGAAGACAGCCCAACTTGGGTTCAAACATCAGCATAGCTTTTCTGGACTCATCCTCAGTCCTGACAGCTCTGCCCAGAGGAACTAGGCCTTACCTGGATGATGTAGAAGGAGGGTGACAGAGGGAACTGGACACCGTTGAGGACAAAGCTGAATGTCGGCAGGCTGCTGACGCTGTCACAGCTCACGAAATACTGTGAAGAGGAGCACGGCCCCGATTGACACATCTCCCACAGAAGAGCACCCCTCACACCTGCCACCTCAGCATTCTACACCCTAGGCCTGTCCCCCCCCGGACCACTGCAGGCCAGAGGAAACAGCTTCAAGCAAAACCTGGGAAACCTGCATACCTAATCTTAACCTTCAGCAGCACTGGCACAGATGGGGAGGGACCCAGGAGTCCTGAGGAGCCCATGATACTAGAGCTTTGCCCCTGACTGAATATTCACTCCGAGAGATCGAACTGCTGCCCTCCCATCGGCAAGTGCCCTTTAACAGAAGGGTCTGTAGACCAGGTTACCCATCAGCCCCCATCCCGCCCATCCCCTGGAATCAATGAGAATGGTCTCATTAGGCAAATTGTCTGCTGGACTTAGGACCAAGCGGAGCAGGAGAGCCTGTGGAGGTGAGGGAGGTGTGGCTTACAGAGGGGTCCGTGGTCACTCATTTGTGTGGCCCCACCTTCTAGTTATTTCACTCCAATCCTAAAGCCCAGGGCGTGTCCAATCCATATTTCAAGGTGACTTAAGCTCAGAAGAAGTTCTTGCTCTGCCCATATTCCCTCAGCTCCAGCCTCTTGGCCTCCACCCTACCAGGACCACTTTCCCCCAGTGCCTTCATAGCTAAAAGCCTGGAGGCCACGAAGTCAGTCATCTTTGTGTTCCCAAAGAGAAGCTGTAAATGCGACACACACACACACAACACACACGCCAGGATGGCCTTCCCTGAGGAAGGGAGCTCTTCCTGTCAGACTCACCTGTCCGTATTCTTCCTGGGCTCCAATGGCCTGCAGAAGTTCGCTCAGGTACTGGGAGGGCATGGTGAGCAGAGAGGTGCCTGTGTCGACAATGCCTTGACAGCCTTGGGAACACCAGCCGGTGGCCTGGTCATCAATAAGGAACCTGAATGGCGAGAGACGTCGGAGCCTTCAGTTCCCACCTAATTGTTGCAGGCAGCCAGTCAGGGGCTTCCCACCACAGCAGCCACATGCGGAGACAAGCCGTTCTTGAGGAAAGTAAGGGGACCCCCCCCACCTCACCCCACCCTAAGTCTATCCAAGGCCATCTGAGTGACCACTGAATCTACTTGCAAATTTTCATCAAGCTTGGCCACATGGAAAGCCAGGGCCGCTGGTTGTTGCAAGGACTTTGAAACACACTCAGTTTCTGACCTGTGGCGTCAGGGGACAGGGCCCTCATTCCTGAGTCTGTGTGCTGCCCGTCCCTGTGCGGCCTTAACCCCTCTTCTCCAGATCTAGCTGAGAGTCGATACTCCTGGGTAGGTCGCTGTGGCTTCGGGGGAGGGCTCTCTTAGCTATTCTCTCCCACCTGCCCCCACCAACAGAGCCGGGGTCAGCCAATGGTTTATAGGGTTGTCTCGAGGCACAAGGCCCCACCACAGACTCACTCATCGATGCTGATCTGCCAGTACAGCTCCCGAGTGACAGGAACCCAGGTGATCTCCCCAGTGTACAGGTTCTCGTCCACACCTCCAAAGACGATCTGTCCACCCTCAGATCCCTGCTGCCTGCAGAAGACACGAGGGAGGGTAAGGGGTGACAGCGAAAGAACTCCCGAGGTGAGTCAGCCATTTTCGGAGGACAGGAGCTCCTCCCTTCATTTCGCACCAAGGCTCTGTCTCCCTCAGACTGGAGCTACCTAGGACAGTCTGTGTTTTCTTCAGGTTGGGGCTCCCTGAAGGTAGGATGTGTTTCCCTTAGATGGGCTCCCGGTCTAGACCCCTTGGAACCCTCATTGGTTCAGACTCTGGAGTGGTGCTGGCACACAGAGTCCCCAGCCCCCTGGAGGGGCAGCTACTCAGAGACCCCACACACACACACCAGCTACTGCTCGGTCTTCTGCTCTTTGCTCCGTGCCAGTAGGTGGAACCTCTCCCCGGCAGCCGTCCAGTGCAAGCCCAGTAAGCCGGGCAGAGTCAGTGACATTGACGGCGCCAATTTAGATTCAATTCAGATTCAGGCCGCGAAGCCTGGACACTCTCTAGAAGGTAAGCTAACTTGGAGGAAGAAAAAAAAAAAAAAAAAAAAAAAAGAAACACACACACACACAGGGCCCAGACGGCGCCTGCTCGTGTCTGCTGGAAGGATAACAACAGGTTAGAAGTCAATCCTGGGCCAAGCCCCAAAGACTCCAGGACCAGTTGGAACGACAGATCAAAGGAGATGAAGCAAGAGATTACTCTACAGAGGCGATACGGAGTGGAAAGTCTCGGTCGGAGACGGCCCTCAGTGGGGAGGGCACAGGAGTTGGACCCAGGAAGTTCTAGAGTGAAAGCCAGACTCCCAGATTGGAGCCGGAAATAGGGAGCTTGTCACAGTCAAAGAACACAAAGAACAATCGCGGGTGCCGGCAGGATGGCTCGGCAAGTAAAGGCACCTGTGGCCAAGCCTGACAAACTGAGTTCCATCTCTGGGACCCACGTGGTACAAGCAGAGGACCGACTCCTGCAAGTTGTCCTCTGACCTCTACAAGCTCACTGTGGCGTGTGCCCCAACCCCTGCTCTAACACAAATAAATAAATGTTGAAAAAAAGTAGGAGCGGACAGGAAACAGATATAGGGTGGGGTGTGCAAAATTCAGGAACTGGAGAGAGGAAGGCTCAGGGGCAGGTGTGGCTGAAACTCGCAACCCTCAAACTACTGAACCTCGGTGGAGTAGTGGGAGGCCCGCGAGCTTGCTAAGAGGTTGCTTACCTGCCAAGGTAGACGCCGAAGAGGGGCTGGGAGAGAGCGCCCTCCTGCAGCAAGCCCTGCAAGGCAGTGGTGGCGCCCCCTGCAGACAGGCCGGGGTAGGCCAGGCCCATGATACCATCGAATTGTGCATAGACGAAATTGGTACCCGGCTCGTTCTCACTCAGGCCAAACTCCTGGTTGGGGACCTTGATGCCTTGGACCTGGAGTGGAGGTTAAACAGAGGGATAGTGACACACCAGACTGGACCTCCCTCCTCCAGGCCCTCTCGCTCTTGTTCATCTCTTCTCGTTTCAGCTCCCCCGCCATGCCCCACCTTGATAAATCTGGCAGCTTCTCTTCCAAGTATCAGCACAAACACTGTATTGTCCCTGCCCCTGCCCTGTCCCTCTCTCTTCTGAAGAGCTATGTTCTTCATGGAAGATGGCCACAAAGAAAGGGCTCATCATGGCTTCCCCGCCTCCTGACACAGAATGGCGATCAGGGTCAGCACTGTGAGTGGACAGGGTCCTAACCTAGGAGTAGCTCTTCCATCATGTTTTGGGGGCTTTGTCTCAGGCCTCCACCGCCGCCTCCCCCAGCCAGGAGTAGGGAACCTCACTCACAGTCAGAGTGTCATAGCCGAAGAAGCCAGTGAGGCTCCCGGTGCCGTACTGCAGAGAGAAGGTCTGTCCTTCGGTGTAGTAGGTGGAGGAGTCGCTGGGGTTGTAGCGGGGATGTGTGGCTGCATGGAGAAGCCGGACACAGAGGTCAGGCTTCCTGCTCTGGAGCCCAGAGCGTGCCATCCCTCCCCAGCCTGAGTGTAAGCCTCGGGTTCTCAGCATCCCCTACTCCAAGTCAAAAGGTGACCAGCATTGAGTCACGCATGACCCCAAAGCCCCCTGTGACTTACAGGGTAAGCTCTGGAACTATGGCCTCTCTCTGGGCAAGGCTGTGAGCTAGGTCCCAGAAGAGCCCTAGCACAGACACCTTAGGAGTGAATGGGCCTTTAAGCATGATTTCATCCCACAGCCTCCACCCCTTCAAGAAGCTGGCCATACCAAGACCCTGAGCTGACATGAGAAATAACCAAAGAGAGACTCCTTGGACCAGAAATAATAGGATACCAAGGCTCTGGTATGGACCAAAACTGTATTACAAAGATAAATGCCATCTGCCTGCCCAAGCTACTGCAGGACAGGACCAAGTCCAGTATTGTTCCAACCCATCCTTCAGACACACTTGGTGCAAACATGATGAGCAGCGAGGTCAGGTGGGGTGAATAGAAGGCAGGATTGACTGTTGTGAAAGAGAGTGGAGAAGACCCACAACAAAAGGGACAGCATTGTGCTGGTGATCAGGATGGGTGGGATGGAGCAAAATGGATCGGGGGAAGTGAGCTGCCATAGATGAAGGTATAGCTATTGCTTATCAAGAGTCTGCTGGCTGCAAGGCCGGCCTTTTGACTTGGCTTGAATATGTCATGTGACTGCTTCACACTGCCACCCTCTCCCGGAGTGAATTTCCCCCAGCCCTCCTAGGGAAGTGTCCCCTTTGCTGCCCATCCAGCACTCACTGCAGGCCTGGCTCTGGCAGTAGACAGAAGGTACCCAGAGGTTGGAGGAGCCAGTGTCGAAAAGGACCAGGAAGTTCTGGGGTGGAGTCCCGATGCTGATCTCGCCAAAGTAGGAAGCCTGGTGGGATGGGGGATGGCACAAGGTATACTGTTCAGCTCTGAGAAACTCAGGGACCCGGCTACTCCAGGTAGAACCCAGCTTCTGCCCTTCAGACCACACCAAAATTAGTTGCCCAAGTCCTCCCTCGAAACCTGCCCCATGCCCAGCGCTACTCAGTCTATCCCTGGGTGGCCACGAAGCTCTGTGTGCACTCGGCTTCAAGAACAGTGAGGATGAGCCCTCCCCCCAGGTTCTTCAGATAGTCACCCATAGAAGACTGGAAGACGTAGGTGGAACCCAGGTCCTGAAGGCAGGGAGCCCTCAGGTTTGGTAGCAGGGACAGGGGTTCCCTGAGAGGTGTTAAGACTTACATCCATGTAAGCCATGGGCTCATAGAGGACACTGAAGCTACCAAAGTTGTTAAAGTTGTACTTCTGGCCGGGGTCATACTTGTGGGTCTTCAGAAAATCTTTGAGCAAACCCTTTTCCTTCATGGTCTCACGGATAGTCTTCATTTTCTTCAGGGGGACCCTGCAGAAGGCTGTGTGTCAAGCCAGGGCCCTCTCACCTTCCAGACCCCTCCCGGCTCTCCTGGCTCCATCTGTGTGCCTCAGTCTCTCAGCCACTCTGTCTCACAATGCCCACTGTTTGGATCTCTCTGCCTTGATTTCTTTCTAGCTCTTCTCCCTTTGTCTTTTTCCCTTCCCGTTTCCTCCTGCTCTCAAACTCCTCCTCAATGCTTGCTCCAACATTTAGAAAGTAATCAGCTTCAACCACATCTACCCTCACCCCATATGAAAGTACCCCCGCTGTCCAGGCCCCCTACTCTAACATACCCTGTGATTCCCTCCCAAGAAGGGCAGGGCAACTTAGAGAATTACCTTTGTTAGAATCAGCGTGTTCACATTTTTGAGACAGGGTCTCATGTATCTCAGGCTGGCCTAAACTGGTTTGTTTGTTTGTTTGTTCATTTGTTTTTCGAGACAGGGTTTCTCTGTGTAGCCTTGGCTGTCTTGGACTCACTTTGTAGACCAGGCTGGCCTTGAATTCATAGTCTCAATCTTAATACATATCAAAGAGCGGCTTTTTAACTCTGATATGTCTGCTTCTACCTCCCAAGCATATACCACTACCCAGTGTATAGAGCACGGGGGCCAAAGCCAGGGCATCATACATGCTAGGCAAGTACCGTCCCAACTGAGCCACACCCCAGCTCACATTGGTACGTTTTTATAAAGGTGCCAGAGAAAGCAGGTTCGCCCCGAAGCATTCTTCCATACTGAGCACTAAGCACAGAGTAAGGGAAACAGAGCGAATCCCCCTGCTTACTGGTAATTTACCATCCAGGGACATCACTGTGCCTCTAGGAACAGTCCACGGGGACAGTGGCTTGGGAGTTCCAGAGTTAGCACTTGGGAGCCGGGCTTCTGCCCATGTCACAAAAAACACAGTCTAAATGCTGCTGGCTGCCATTGCCCAGGGGTCACCTGCTTGCTCTGCAACCTATGATTCCCATTCCTTTTCCTTTCACTTCTTTCTCCGTCTTGCTCCTCATTCTCTTAGGACTCTACGTTCCAAGAGTTTCTGTGCTAAACCTCTTGATATGAGCCAAACCAATCACCTCTTCTGGGTTTGCACAATAGAAATTTCTGGGAGGAACCGACTTTTCACCCAAGAAACGGGGCTGGTAAGATGCTCAGCAGGAAAAGGCGGTGGCTGCCAAGCCTGATGGCCTGAGTTTAGTTCCCAGAACCCATATGGTGAAAGGAGAGCCCTGACTCCTGCAATTTGTCCTCTGACCTCCACATGTGTTCAGTGGCACGGGCACGCTCACGTCCCCCCCCCCCCCCCCCCCCCACAGGATAAATTTTAAAATAGACAACTTGAGTCATAATTTAAAAAGAAATGATGAGGTACCAAAGTCTACAGATTCTCAGGCCCATGACTGGTTTTTATAACCTGTGTGAATCCTCCCACCACCTCAAATTATCTCTAGAGTTCTATCAATACCTACTAAGGGCCAAAGACATAGTTCCGTGGTTAAGAGCATTATTTGCTCTTCCAGAAGAGCAAGGTTCAAGTCTTAGCAACTATAAACCAGCTGTGCATCCAGTCCCGGGGGATCTGACACCTCGCTAGGCCCCAGGCTGCCACTGCAGGCTCTCTGAGCTCTAGCAGTCTCCAGTCTCACCTGAGCAAAGATGCCTCCAAGAGTGGGAGGCAGAGCAAGACTACCACCAACCACTTCATGATGCCGGTTCGCAGCTGGCCTCACAGGAAAAACCGCTCCGAGCTCGACCGTTGTGGTGGAGTGAAGACCTGAGCACCACTCCTTCCTTTTATATAGCCAGGAGCTAGCCCAGCCCCAGCCCTGGACAAGCATGACCCACTCCCCTCCCCGAGCCAAGATGTCCCTTGAACTCCGTGTATCAATGGCTTCTGTGTGTTTTTCCCTCCTGGAGCATGACCGTGACACTTTTCATCTTATTGACTTTTTAACTCAAGCAGAGAAGGCCAGGAGGTAAAAAATGATAAGAGAGAACAAAGTGGCCGCACAATGGAATGGCAAAGATTGCCATGCCTCTGGGAATCAGAGGCACGATATAGGCATTTGTGGGTTAGGGCTTGAACGAGCAACCTGGGTCCTGACGGTTGGTTCCTCAAGCTTGGCACTAGTGTTATTTGGAATCAAATAATTCTTTGTTCCAGGCATGGTCCTTGCTCACTGTAGGGTGCTATCAGTAACCCCATTAAATGCCAGGAGCAGCCCCCGAGTTGTAGCCACCAAAACGTCTCCAGGCATTGTTGGTTTCCCCTAGGGATAAGTCCTCGAGAAATGCTGCTCTGCCAGCAAGCATCATACTTGGAGGGCTGACTGACACCCTGCTTTCCAGGCCCCCTTAAACTTCTGGGTCCTGGGGCTCAGGGCGTCTGGAGGATAAGGGCCAGGAACCAGGCTGGCGGCTATGGTCACAGGGGCAACAGTGCTGTGTGGGGTGCTGAGGCTGGAGCTGGGGGGTGAAGTCAGAAGGCGGCTCTGAAAGCTTTCAACATGAAACCCTGTCCCAATTCAGCAGGACTCCCTCACAGAAGCGTGTCAGGCCAGCACTGGCCTTACGAACCTGGGCAGAGGCCCAGAGGGGATGTGAGCAGAGGAGCCACACATGCGCCTCGCCATTTTTCCCATTGTCCCTTCTCCCTTCCCATTGCTATCTGGGAGGGGCTTTGTTTGATTCGGGGTGAAGAGGGTCTCATATATGCAGGTCAACCCTACCCCTGAGATACACCCCAGCCTGTTCTGTGGGTGTGTTCATGTGGTTTATGTGTGCACCTGCGTTCATCCATGCAGGACCTGGAGGCCAGAGGCTGATGTCAGGGATGTCTTCTTCAGTTGTTCATCCGCTTTATTTGTTAAAATTTCAAATCAGTTTTAATGTGTTTACTCCGTGCCTGTGAGCGAGAGAGCGAGAGAAGGGCACTCACGGGTCACTGCTGCGGGAGTTTTTTTCTCTCCTTCCACTTGGTGGGTCCCGAGGATGGAACTCGGGTTCTCAGGCTTGCTGGCAAGCTCCTTCACCCACTGGGCCATTTTGCCGGCCCTCCACCTTGTTTTTTAAAGATGGGATCTCTCACTGAGCCCTGAGCTTACTGCTTCATCTAAACGGAAGGCTGGTGAGTCCTGGGCTCCATCCGCCTCTGTAGCAGTCTTACAGATTCATGCCACCATGAACCTGCTCCTTATGCGGGTGGTGAATTCAAACTCATGTCCCCATGCTGGCATGACCTAGGCTATTTTTATTTTTTATTTTTTCGAGACAGGGTTTCTCTGGGCAGCCTTTGCTGTTCTGGATTCCCTTTGTAGATCAGGCTGGTCCCGAACTCACAGCGATTTGCCTTTGCTTCTGCCTCCCAGAGCGCTGGGATTACAGGCATGCACCACCAGAAACGAGGTCTCACACTGTAGACCAAGTTGGCTTGGAACTCACTATGCAGCCCATAGTTAGCTTGGAATCCTCAACCATCTTTATTCTCTAGCTCCCCAGATTCAGGGATTATAGGTGTGAGCTACTATGCCTGGGTCTTTTTATTTTTGAGACAGACATTTGATAAATTGCACAGGCTAGACTTGAACTCACTCTGTAGCCTCAGCAGGGCTTGAACTTGTCATCCTCCTGCCTCAACTCTAAGTAGGTAGGATTACAGGCCTATACTACTAGACTAAGCACTCTTATCTTTTGGGCTTCTAAAAATCCCTCTATCTCCCCCACCCCATTGCCCTCTCCTAAGCCCTTACCCACCCCAATGACCACCCACTTCACCCTCTAACCTTGCCACAACTTTCTCCTGACTTGAGTTAGCTAGGCCACCAACAGGCTTTATATTTGAAGTGAGTGGGAAAAGTCCAATGCCAGCACCCTCTATTACCTTTTACCTCAGACTCTAGGCCCCATATAGATTTATATGAGGACATCCCTGCTCAGCCGGTGGGCTCTAGTGGTTCTTCATCCCCTGTGAACTTCAACTTCATACACAAGTTGGCCCTCTGACATTTCTGCTGGTCACCTCAGGGTTCCAAGATGTGCCAAGACCTCCTCTGCCCCTCGTCTGTCCCCCTGCCCAATATCTAGAAAGCTCTCTTTTTATGTGTCTTGGAATCTGCAAGGCCTGAAGACACATAAGAAGCTACCAAGGCCATCGTCCTCTGTAGAGTGTGGTACTGAGTACTGACCCACTGGTTTTGGCCCAAGTTCACCCTTCTAGCGTTCACACCCTAGCATTGTAGGCAGAAGGCTGGGACCAGATCTGATAGCCACCTGTGTCATCTATCCAGTAGGAATTTTCCATTCTGGCAACTGCTGCCCACCACTCAGCCAAAGCTCTGGAGTGTGCCCAGGCCTGTGATGAGGGAGGGAAGGGGGTTGGGAAACTCGGTGTCTGCTTGGGCCTGGCACCGACAGGGAGGTCTCTGCACGCTTGTATTTCAAAGCTAGCTCAGCTCTCCTTCCCTGCAGTCTCCAGAGACCCACTGGGGTGTGGATTGGGGGAGCAAGGTAGGAGATACCCATATTTTGGAGAACAGGAAAAAGATAGTGAGAGAATCCTCAGAAGCTTGCCAAACCCATGGAATGTTCTAAATCCGGTGAGGCCTGCTGGATTCTCCAACCTCAGCCTTGACTTGCCAGGACTCAAGGAGTCCTTGTCAGTTGAAGCTCTAGGCCAAGTCTCACCATATCTAGGGAACGTTCCTAACCTGCAGCGGGCCAGGACACTCTTGCTCAGCTGATGGACCCCAGAGGTTCTACATTCCCTGTGGATCCATGCTGGCCCTCTGCCAGCTCTCCAGCCACTTCAGGGTTTCCAGATGCCCCAAGACCTGCCCTGCCTCTGGTCTGTCCCCCTGCCCGATATCTAGGAAGTTCACTTTTTTATGTGTCAAGGAGCTGTGGGACCTGAGGACATCTCAGGAGTCACCAAGGCCATCTTCCTCTGTACAGTGTCGGATACTGGCTCACCAGTTTCAGCCATGTTTGCCCTCTGCCCCCATGCCCTCGCTGCACTCCCTGGCAGTGCTGCTGCCTGGCACCGAATCTCCAGCAGCCTCAGACGGGGCTCAGCTGTTTCCCGGGGTAATTTTTTAAGTTACATTTATTCATTTATGTATCAATTGTGTGTGCGTTTATATACATGGGCATTTGTGCGCCGTAGCTTCTATCAGGGACCAGAAGACAACCCGCTGAGGTCAGTTTTCTTCTTTCATCATGTGGGTGGCTGGGGATTGGACATTGGCTATCAGGCTTTGCAACAAATACTTTTACCCACTGAGTCATCTTACTGTTTCTCCTGCCCTAGTCAATCTCCCCTCTGAAGCTCTGCGGGAGCTGACTGCTCACAATCCCCATGCCTGTGTGAGGCTCCAGAAATCATGAACAATTGAAAAAGCCCACCGAACAGTTTTCAGTGGGGTGCAGCTACTCCTCATGCCCCACTGGGTCCGGTTTCCAACCGAAGTTCACCTTCCTTTCCTAGTCTATAGATGCCCCTTGCTTTAGCCTCTGCAGCCCTGCTGTTTTCTCACTCTTTGCACACCCATCTGTGAAAGCTCCCCCCACTTTCAAGACCCAGACAAAGGCCTCAGAGCCCTCCCTGTGGTGCCCTTCTCAGTCCATCACAAAACAACAATTCCCAAGTCTGTGTGTGTGTGTGTGTGTGTGTGTGTGTGTGTGCTCATCCGTGCTAGCATGTGTTGAGGCCAGAGGTTGATATCAGATGTATTTTCCCAGTCGGTTCTCCACTTTATTTTTTTAAGGTGTATTTTTATTTATGTACATGTAGATGGTGTGGGTGCTCAGCCTATGTGTGTGAGTGCCATTGGAGGCCAGAGTTGGGTGTTGGGTCCCCTGGGTACGGAGTTCTAGGATGTTGTGAGACACCCAGAACTTACAGAGCAGCGAGTGCTCTTAACAGGCGCACCACCTCTCCCTCCCTTGTTTTCACCTTGTTTCTTTGAGACAGGTTCTCTCACTGAACCTAAAGCTCACTGCTCCCTCTATACGGGCCAGCCAGCACAACCTGGGGTTCTTTCTCTCTCCACCCCTGTAACACACAATAGTTACAGCTCTGCACCTCCGGGCCTGGCTTTGATGTGGGTTCTGGGGACATACTCTTAAGTCCTGAACCATTCCCCCAGCTCCTGGGGTCCTTTAATGAAGTTTTGGTTTGCTCTGGTTTAACTCTGAGTCGTGGGAAAAAAGCGCTCGCTGCTAACCCGAATGACCTGGGTGTGAGCCCCAGTGTCCCACGTGGTGGAAGAAGAGAACTGGTTCCCACAAACTGTCTTCGGTCTCTGTGCACGTGCTGAGGAGAGCATGTGCAAAACAGATAAACAGAAATATCTTTTTAAAATTTTTTAAAGATTTTGAAGAAAAATTAGGAATTCTAAATTTCATTTAAAGTTATATATAGACACATATGTGTGTCTATATATCACATTTTATAAAAATTAAGCTGGGCCTGGAGTTTCACTCAGTGATGGCATGCTTGCCTATTATCCGAGAGATACTGGATTCAAGGACCGACATCAGCAAAGAGGGGGGAAATCTAAAAAAAAAAAAAAAATCAAGGTAGCTTCAAGGTATAAGTGTTTACACCATTCAAATTACCCAGCAGCCCTTATTATACACAATTATATTTTAACACAGCCACACTCCCTGTGCCAAGGCAACTTCTGTTCTGTTCTTATCATGTCAGATTGCCACAGAAACACGTTTCCATGCATTAAGATAGGCTGAGCCCTTATC